ATTTTTTTGGCAAAAAAACAAATAGTTGACACTACAACCCCTTTATTCATTTTGCAGACTAGTATATTTTTTTTATAAAGAAAAATAAAACGGTAAATACTAAAATAAGTGAATTAAGGCATCACCACACATGAAATCCGCTATAGAAAAAGTATACTGCATTCCTAATCAACAAAGTGTAGCATTCAGAGCATTTTATCTCATTTCTCCATATATGAATTAATTTAAATTAAGATTTTCTCTCATAATCCATGCAGAAGACGTGAAAAATCTTCCCAGCTTTGCGTGGATCTGGTTATAATACAAAACCAAAGATGTCTCTTCTTGCATGTTACGCAAGCATGTTTGAGGTTCCATTAGAACCAATGAGGCTGGTGCATGTTAAGCACTTACGGTTCAGCTTTTACTATATTTGATGAGCTCTATGTATGTGCACTGATCAATGCTTTTATGTGAATAAAAGCCTAAATTAAATATTTTTTATCACATTCAAGTAATCTTGTCTCTTCAAAAGAATTTGAATCCATCCATTCAAATGGATGACTTTTACAATGTCTTTATGCACCTTTTGAAGCAGTAAAGTTTTGAGGAAATTTTTTAATATTTTCATTTGTGTTTCAAAGATGAATGAAAGTCTTATGGGTTTGGAACAAGATGAGAGTGAGTAATTGCTGAATAAAATATACATAATGTCATGAGGTGGCAAAAACAAGACCTTTGACCTCTCCTTACCCTGAAATCTTTGGCAGAGCGGCGGTATTCTGCCACATCACAGATGGCTAGCATACCACCCATGGAGCTGTAGTTGAACTGCTGCAGGTGCTCGTGGATCAGCCTATGGAACCGCACTCCCAGCTCAGTCAAGACTGTGTCCACATTCTTACCATCCATGGACCGCCGCACACGCTCCACCTGCTTGCTCACATAGGCACACACCTTTGAGCATGCCTTGAAGAAAGAGCACAGGACAGATGACATATTACACACAACAAAATCAAGCAGAATGTGGCTACTAATACTAAAAATTATTCTACAGAGTTAACAGTGCGTTAACAGAGTCTTAATATTTCTTATTCTGTTATTCATAGAATCTTTTCACTGCACTGATATAAGTTTCACAAGACAATTACATGATTTTAAGATCTTACTGTAGTGTACTGTATCATGACATTGTTCTCATCTTCTGGCTTGAAGTCTGTTTTCTTCTGTTCAGTCACCAGGATGTGCTTCATCTGGCCTATCATGCAGTTTAGTGTCCTAAAAACAAGGAAACAGGTCACAGAAATTGCATTCAATGGCAACGATGAAGACAAAGATATGCTTTGATTGAGAATGAAGCTCCATTAAACAGAGATTTCTGAGAGTTTTGAACCAACCGATCAATCCCGGTGTCCAGCTTCACCTCCATCTGTTCGATCACCTCCTTCTTCTTGTGCAGGCACTCCGTCAACTTAGGAGAGGAGCTACAGGGGTTAGAGTTCAAACAAATGTCACGGTAAAGACACCAGTCAGCGGTCGCAGAGACAAAAGCTAGTAAAACAAAGTCGGTCAAACTCACCTAATAAGAGGCATAAGATGATCATTAAACTGCTTATCAAAGAGGTGAAAGATTGTGTTGGCCTGCTGAACCACATCCAAAAAGTAGAGGTTGGCATTTTTGGCATCTGGAGATGGGATGGCTGTGCAAGTCAAAATACAAATAAAAGAGTATTGTCGTGTTCAGATGCATTCATGTGATTTGGTGAAAATGTGTCTGATTAGCAGTGGAGCTAATGCTGCCTTCAAGTCATGTAAGAATTATCATATTTACAACATCAGCATCACAATGTTGGAGTAAGAAACTTTAAATGAACTCTCATTGCCTCTCTTGACTTGATTTTTATGAATGCAAAGCACTACAGTTTCACTTACACATAATAATAGCTTACTACTTAAACCTAATGGCACACAGCTACACTGGGACACACTTGTGGATAAATTAATCTTCTTCCTGTGGTCATCATGTAAAGAACAAACTCAACATAAACCATGTGACCCATGACTAGCTGACAGGGACTAAACTGAACTGCACAACTCTGTAAAATTCTGCAGGACTACAAGAATTTGAATGACTACAAGAAATCCACTTTGTAGGATTACAAGAATCATAAAACACGCAAATTAATTAGACATCTAATGGGTATCATTTGTATTTCATTATGTTTCACTAAAAAGCTCCTGTCTTTTTCAGGAAAAAAAAATTGATCATTGTGTCAATTTGACTTCAACTCCATTTAAACCAAGGCTGTATTAAAATTTTAAAATTTTTAATGTTTTTCAGTACATTATAGTTTTTAATTTAGTTTTTATATTGACGGGAAAACATGCTTTTTGTGTAATGGACTGTATACAGTATCTGGATTCCCCCAATTTGTAAATAACATAGTTCCCACTGCACTAACAAATTTCTATGATTTCTCATGGGGTCATGAAGATTATTTGGTTAATATTTTTTAAAACTTATTTTAATTCATTTTCAGACTGATTCAATAATAAATAATTCAGACAATCTTGTGAACTGGTCTGGTTCACACATCATTGTCTTTTATCTTAGCAAGTTTAACTCTATACAAGAGCAATATCCATCTGATTAAATATGTTAGAACAGAGCATAACTAGAAAAAATGACATTCACAATAGAAATTTCCATGATTTTAATATTTTAATCTGAAAATTCCCTGATATTTAGGTTCTCTCTAGATCAGGGGTGTCAAACTCAATGTATGGAGGGCCGGAGCCTTGCAGAGTTTTGTTCCAACCCTACTCCAACACACATTTCATGTAGTTTTCAAATAAGCCTGAAGGATTTGATTAGTTGGATCAGGTGTGTTTAATTAGGGTTGAATCTAAACTCTGCAGGGCTCCGGCCCTCCAGAAATTGAGTTTGACACCCCTGTTCTAGATGGACGTTTATTTTATTTATTAACCTTTATTTATTTATTTTTACCATTTTTAGAAAGTCATGGTAAGTTACAAGAAGTTCAACCTTTTAAAAATGTCTCAGGCCTTCCCTTTTTTCATTTCATTGCACTGTTTCTTGTGTTCCGCTTTGCATCGGTGTTTGGCCTTTCTCCATAATGGTAGTAATTCTCATAATTTAAAAATGCAGTAATATTTTCCAGTTATTTGTCAATGAAAATGTTTTTTAAAATGTAATTTTCGACTTTTTCAGTTTAGTTTACGATAATAACCTTGATTTGAACAAACCCGTAATTGCATTACTGTGCAACATTTTACTATCAACCGTTCCGTGTTTGCCATACCTGACAGCCCAATTTCAAGCGCATAGTCTATATGGTCCACACACAGGTACTCCACCAAAAGCAGGAAAATGGAGAAGGCATTTTTTGGTAGATCTGCTGGGTCTGACAACTGCAACAAAGACAGAAAAATGATCCATCATGCTAATATCAGCCCACAACTTCCAATAGAAACAAAAGACTAGAGGTGTTTTTGTACTAAAGTAGTGCTTAAAATTCATATACCTTGTTGCATCTTTCAAAGGCATGTCGGGTTTCCTGCAACAGGTTGACTACAACCTCTTGTGAGAGGAAAGTCTCTCCATGTGTGTCAATACTGGGTCCCAGAGGCAGGTTAGTGCGTTGTCTGATCCTCTCTTTTAGCTCCTGCATACTGTCAAAATGAGGACAAGAGAAGGCAGTAATGGTAAAAGATCTATACAAGACATGTATCTGAAAAACCAGCTCTAAGGTTTCAGAGTAACTCTGGAAAAAGAATGGGGGAAAAACCAACCAACCAACCAACAGTTCCTCACCTTCCAGTGCCTACAGGACGTTTTTGGTGGTTCTTAGAGTCATAAAAGCGCTGAAGGATCAAGCCACTGCGGTTTTGCAGATATTGTCGCTCCATGTCTATGTAGCTCTCCAGATAACAGGAGAATATATTTTTTATCAGTTTAGATAGAAAAGTGTGCTTGTCTGAGCCCAAGTTAAAGTCTGTGAGCTTAGCAGCCAGTGCCGTTGTCCTAAAAACAAATGGGTTATGACAGTTCAAAGCTGGTGTTCAGTAAAGCAAATTAATTTGACAAACATTTGAGACTTTAAACCATTTCAGACAAGACAAAAACAGGGTTTTATGAGAGCAAAATGAACAATTGTAATAATTAATAATAATGAAATTCTGATTGATACCGTGAATAGAGGTCATAGAGGTTCTTGAGGTATTGCTCCACATCAGAGTGGCGTGTCTCCTCTAGTCTTTCTTTGACATGAGTCTAAAATCATAAGTCAGTTTATGAGTCAATTAATGTGGCACCTGTCCACACCAGCAGGTAAAGTTACAGCAGGAGTCGGCGTCTCTCTTGCCTCCCCTGAGCCCATTGAGTTTTAACAGACCCCCTAAAACATGTGGTGGGTAATGGAGAGTGAATGGGGAAAAGTCACATGAGAGGAGGCAATGCCTCCATCGCGATATGATTGGATACGACTGGTTATGATCGGCTGTGATTGGTTCATGCGATAAATCCCGCCTCTTGTGTTTGTGCACGTTCCGCATTCACGAATCAGTCTGAATGAACAATATAATGGCATTAATTATGAAGACTAATTAAAAAAAAATTTGTAAACAACTCACACACTTAGATATAACCACTTTATGTCATGTCAAAATAAGACTTGAAATGGCCTGAAAACATGATCTGTGGGAGTTTTTAGAAAATAATCAGCTTGGTGAAGTTTAAGGTAAATCTCTGTGTCTGTGTTTTACTGAGCTTCGATGACTGATGACTGAAAAAAAAAAAAATCAATCAAAAATAGTTAAAAGTTAACAATTAAAAAGAATAGCTGCCTTTAATAATTATATTGAATACATGTAAAATGCTTAAAAACAGTAACTTGAGATTCATACTGGGCTTTAATAAATAGAATATTGATTACATTGTTAATGTAAAAATACAAAATATAAATTAATTGTTTTTTTGTTTGTTTCCTCTTTTTCTGATAGTGTAAGTAATGTGATTGTGTCATGAATTTACATTTGATTTAAAAAAAAATAATCTTTGCCTCCTTATTTCAGAACACCACTGCACACCACATATATATCAGCAGCAATGGCTATATTCATGGCAAAAAAACTATAAATTATATCACTCAATCAACTCAATCGATATCCTTTCAATACAATATTTACAATAATTTAACAATTGTCTTAAAAACTCAACATACTAAAAAAAACAAAAACAATATAAACTAAAATAACAATAACAACAATAATACCAAAAACAATTATGTAGAGTCTTTCAACTTACTATATGACAAAAATTCTAAAATTATTTCAAGAGAAACCTTTTTAACTATGTCCATTAAAGGTGCAGTAGGACATCTTGAAAAATGCTAACTTTTTCTGTGCAAATCGCCGTCCAAGGCTATGCCTCCTGAATGCATGAACGCGCACAGACCTGACGACCAGAGACAACATTACTACAATACATCATGTGTCATTCACCGGTGAGAAAACTTTATAGTACAGTTAGTAACAGTACTACAATATCAAGAAAGGAAGGAAGGTCAGGTTGTTGATGTTTGCCTGCCATTCTCGCTCTGTCTGCACAGCGAACGTGAATGCACTGATGACGTATTCGGTCTGCGCGAACAGGGTGTGCAGAGGTATGCAAATACATGTTGACAGGCAGGTAGGAAAGCCTATCATAATGTTCGGACCAAAAAGTTTGATTGGATCTACAGATTTTTTTATTGCTCACCAGGCAAAATTTCATTTGTTCATGTCTCTTATATAAAGCATGAGCAACAGCCTTAGCAAGCACAATTATATCATTTGTTAATGTGTACATGTGTTACGAACCTGTATCCTATTCTCAAAGATGCTCTGAATGAGTTTAGCCATGACAGTCTCTGGACTGCAGAAAACCTCTCCAACCTGTTTATTAACCCGCTGACACAGAATGGCAATGTCTTCAAATACATCATTCCGCATGTACGCTCCCTACAAACACCAAAAGACATGGGTGATATAACAGACAAACATTTAGCCTCTTGATAGATATGTAAATAGAACAGAAACACTCTCAGTCTCAGATTCAGTCTGGTACCTCTTGGCATTGCTTGATGTAGACATCCACACAGTGGGCATAACCCTGTAATAAATAAGATAAGAAATAATAATTTCATATTATAAATGGAACAAATGTCCAAAATAAAAAGTATTATGATCCTGAGGGCTCTTCACTGTATCTCCCAACAAACCTTAAAATGTAGCAGGACTGCTGCCACCTCACGCATGCGCCCAATCTCTCCCCTTCGCTGAGCTGCTGTGAACTCCTGGATCAGCTGACGCTCAAGGTCATGATATTTACCTTTCAAATAAACACAGGTCTTATGTTAACACTGCATATTTAGCAGATGTGTAAATAACATTGCCGTCTTGTTTAGTCTACAGCTGCTTACTTGCTATCTTGGCCTTGACATCAGAAAATCTGAATTGGGACATAACGAGGAAAACAAGCATGGAAAAGAGAGAAGAACAGAGGGAATTTTAAACAAATCTATTTTCAGACCACTAAAAATGATCAGTGAGAGAATATCACAACAAGCATGTTTGAACTTTTGCTTAGATCTCAGATGTTTAATGTTTTTGATACCTTAATGTCTCAGTCAAAACAAACTATGTGAATGAAGAAATTTTCACTTGTTATGTCTTGGCCAATGCATTACCACATTTGCTTGCTTTGAATTTTGCCTTTTCTTTTCAAAAATTTTGCAATTCCATTCAGTGGAGCTAGTGGTGCAGAACTTCCACTCGGCATGCATGCAGTGCACATGCATTCATTTTGTCATCAAAATAATTTTAAACAAATCTATTTTCAGACCACTAAAAATGATCAGTGAGAGAATATCACAACAAGCATGTTTGAACTTTTGCGTAGATCTCAGACACAGTCAAAACAAACTATGTGAATGAAGAAATTTTCACTTGTTATGTCTTGGCCAATGCATTACCACATTTGCTTGCTTTGAATTTTGCCTTTTCTTTTCAAAAATTTTGCAATTCCATTCAGTGGAGCTAGTGGTGCAGAACTTCCACTCGGCATGCATGCAGTGCACATGCATTCATTTTGTCATCAAAATAGGACGCGTGCAGTACGATTTTTCTAGGTCTCTCAGGTTGAACATGCAAACATAATTTTTGTGCCATAATTATTTGTTCTGAAGAGATGGCAACATCGACCCGGGCTATTGTTTCACAGTCGAAATGGTAAAAAAAAGGAACAACAACAGGTACCAGAATCCACAGTAACAAGAGAGAGCAGTGTTGACAAGTGCTTGGGAGAGAGGGTTAAGAGATACCTGCAACTCTAGTTTAATCAAGTACTTAGACATTTTTATTGATCATAATGGAGAGAAACAGCACAGATACTGGACAAAGATGAAACTTTCTACTTTGCATGTGTTGAGCACCTGTGTACGTGCATGCTATCAAATGGAGTATACTTTGAAAGGTTATGTGTTTGGTCTTATCCATACACTAAGCATACCAAAGTAAAACCAATGTATTAAAAACCAAAGTATGCTTTGGCCTTTAATGCGCAATCAATGCTGTTTATATGATCTCTTGTACAGCACAACATTGTACACTGTTCCCCAAACCTCCAAGATCGGGGCCAAGTCACTTACCTATCAAACGGCAGCTCCTGAGCAATCAGGTGCAACTTCTGAATGATGTCTGCAGCTTCTTTTATCTGTTTGGGATGAGAACAGACCATGGTGAGAGAGGGAAAATGGTCACTACAGGACAGGCACCTTAATACACAAACATAGGCCAGAGGCAGCACCCTTAAATCTGGGGATCGGCTTACGGTAAATCTGTCCCTCTCGTGTATGTCCCTCACTCTTCTTGTCCACCATGAGGATGATAAGAGCTAGCTCAGCCCCGCACACCTGAACCTCATCATCATCAGACCTTAACTCCCGTCCGTCAGCCGCTGCCCAGCCAACACCTTATGCTCACTCATGACTATTAAGAATGGACTATGGCTAATCCCTGAGTAAATCACCTCCCATAATCTGTCCCCACAGGCAGGTAGGAGGTCTGGGCAAAAACAGGACCCTGACAAGAAGCCCCCACCTCTACCTTCAAGCCCGATGGACGAGGAGAAGAAAAAGGCGATCCGAAAGGCCATGCCGTCCATATATCCTCTTTTCCCACTCTCCTTTTCCTGCCTGCCTAAGCTAACATCATTATTGTGCTCCCGTGAGGTGGATCCATCCCTTTTCCTCTCTCCTCGCCGAGGTTTTCTAAGTATCTGTCCCCCAGCTAAGATTAGCTAAATCCCATGTAAGTGATGTAGCCGTCTCCCAGCAGTAGGGGGTTTTACCGGCGCTTGTCTCCTCACTGCCTGGGCCCGGCCCTCCCTTTCACAGGGATTAACCCAGCCTTCATTCCTTCCATTTCCCTTCCCTCCTTTCCCCCCCTCAGCTATTCACCGGCAGCTCCTCTCACTTCCCCTCTTTTCTCTTCTGGAGGTGTGTACGTCTTGAGAAATACTGAAATGTCTGGCGGGTATATTCCCACATGGCTCTCTGGAAGCATGTTGGTGGCCTTATGCTAATAGCATCAGAAGATGTAAGACTTGCCACCCAGGGTTGGTCACATCACTACCGAGTGACTTGAAAGATTAATTTATAAAGTGGCATTTCCAATTAAGTTGGCGTACATCAACATCTGAGCAGGCCACATATATTAGCCTCAGGCATCCATTATGTTGGTATGCGTACGCACAAAATTTTATCGGCTTTGGTTGCAACAGTTGTTTCGGGTACAACTTCAACATGGAACTCTGTCCAGAAAATCCTGTTTTTCCAAAAAATCTGAAATCTATAGGCAACATTGATATATGCCCACAGTTACTCACCTGGATCTGGCCTGTTATGGGTAGAGTTGCACCAGCTGTTCGTAAGTTCTTACTTAAATTGGTACATAAAGTCCACGCTAGGGGCTTAGTAACTACTAGCTAGTTTGTAACTAAATATGTACTTAATTTGGTTGCACCATTTAGTTCTTAAGGCAGAACTAGAACTAGGTAGCTAGTAGGACATAAACTCTCCATAAAGTAATGCGTAGTCACATAATAACGGCATTTACCTTCAATGATCCAATAGCAGCCTTCAAATTTGGTGAATCTTCAAACTGATGAATCTCAGTTTATCCTGTTAAAGTTGATTTTAACTTCAATTTCCCCTCATGTAACTAACAGTAAAAATAAGCTTCTATTGAAATATAATACTTCATCGTGAAACAACATGTGTAAATAACATTCAGACACTATTTATTTCTCCTTACATTTACAAATACTGATATAAAAAAGCATACGTGACATTTATTTACTAAAATTGATTTTATTTGATATGCACAATGCACACATAGGTGTGGTGTTTAGACCAAGTCCATGTTGAAGAGCCACTAACAAGTCACTTGTTCACATAATGTTCTCTAAAAATGTAAAATAGTGAAAATGTCATTATTTTCATTTATCTCTAAATGACTAAAATCTGTCAGGTGACGCATGAGTTTACTGACGCAATTCCATCAATGTGTTTTATTCCAACCCTGAAGTTTCCGTAAATATTTACTTCATTAGCGTAATTATGCAAATATTTAATGGTGCATAAGTTATAACTTAGTGCCTCTATACGTTGCAACTAACTTTCCCACAGCTGGTGCAAACGGCCCCTCACTTATTTATTTTTAGCCTATGACAATGCATGCCTAGTTATGAATAAATAACCAGCTCATCGGCCAAAATGGCATTATCTCCCACAAATGACGACGACTAAGAGAAACTACACCATACAAACATTTTACAACACAACTAACTGTAATCCTCAAAAGATGGCACATTCATGTACAACATTGTATGTCTGATGCCACACAACAACTGAATTTACTCAGATCATGCCCAAGATTCTGAATGATGTAGCTACACTTGAAATTAAACTGACATGAAACTGACTTTTTTTTAACGCAGAAAATCAATGAAAATATAGGCCAATATTTAATTGTAGCCCTTTGTATCATTTGTGGTTTGAATGTGGTCCTCTCAGGTTCTGAAGTTGAGTACTTAAGATGTAGTATTACTAGGCAGTCTATCTAAATCTGACCTTGTCCGGATTGTTGAAGACATCACTGCGCAGTTCTCCATCCAGGAACTCGTTGAAGTATGTCATGAGTCTCTGAGCCTCCACTGCCCTCTGTCTTGGTGTATTGACTCCTTCTAGCTGATCTCCCAGATGACACACCTTGGTGGCCACGTAACTGATATGTTCGTCCAACTCCTGGAAGTGCTGGAAGGCTACCTTTGAAACAAACATGACAAGAAAGTGAAGGTCATATAGGGTACATTTATAGGCACATGTAATGTAATTCAGTGTGAAGTAACATATGGCTACCCAAATGGTTCAAAGATCCCCTTGTCTTTTGACATCTTAAAATAAATGCAAAATTGTATAGGCCACTGACTTGGTTGCTTCTTTGCAGGTCTTGGACCTTGTGGGCAAACTCCTTGGCTTCACGGTGACATTGCTGCTCCAACTTCTCCACCTTCCTTTGAATCCTTTCATCCAGCTGTTTTAGTTCCTCAATGTGGTTGACAAACTCTTCCAGCAACCTGGAACCAAAGACATGACATTAAAGAACTGCAGGCAGCAAAGCCCAATTTCTGTCTTGACAAGCATTTTAAATACTTTAAACACATTAAAGGGAATACAACACTACACATTCGTAGCCTTTGATTTTTTTCCCCTTACGTCCATTTATATTGTCATTCTTGGCGTCTTGCAGCAAAAACCTAATTTAGTTTCACAACACCTCTGTATTCTAAAACTTGTAAGCATATAGTTCATGCAGTACATGCATAGCCTACATAATGATGCAACATTACCACTATAATTTATTATTACGTACTTGCCACATAAGCCTTGCAAAAAGGCTTAAACATAACATTTATGTTTGCCTTGTAATGGATAATAATAGATGCTTGCTGTCAACACTTTATTTTTGAGTATGCAAGAACAGTACAGTATGTATGCTCAAAAAGGAGGGTTGATAAATCTGAAGCTGAAATTTGAAATCTGAAGCTTGTTTAAAAGTTTGGGGTCAGTAAGTTTTTTTTTTTTTTATGAAAGAAAATTAATACTTGCATAATGCATTCAAAAGTGCCAGTGAAGACTTTTACATTATTACAAAAAATATTTTATATATATTTTACCAAATAAAAATTTGTACATATGGTCAGGTTTTCTTGCTTTCATAAGAATGCTGTTCTTAACATACTCAAATCAAGCTGGATAACATGATCATCAGATTTTACAGATATGTGGTTCCAAATACAAAAATGTATATTCATTTTTTCAATTAAACAATTGCTGACAATTTAATTTACTATGGAAAAAAAGCCTAAGAAATGCAAGCTCACAAGTGGCCACACACTTTGAATCCCACAGTATGTTGAAATTTGTTCATATGGCCTACGTGGATAATAGTTACTTGCCAAAAGGAGGAGAATCGCTGACAACCAGAACTCTGGAGTCATTTTCATACATGAAAAGTTCACTAGAGCAGAGGCTTCGGTGAGCGCTCCAAAGAACACTCTGTGTCCACAGAACACTGAAAAAAAAATCTATATCACAGTCTGATTTGCGCAATGTAGGCTTACGTCCCAAATTAAGTTAGCTTGGCTAGCATGTAATCTGTGAGGAAATGTTATATAAAACCTGACCAATCATATGAAAATGCCTGTAGCTCTGTTCCCAGTTCCTGAAACCAGCTCATCGGCAGGGATCAGTATATGCTGGGCTGAGATGCATTTATCTTTCATGAATGCTTCTCCAAATAGATGCCGAAAAAATCTGAGAGACTGATCTCAAACTGTGAAGCGAAAAAAGCATCCAGGGAGAGCATCTTATTTGTCAAGATCACATAAGCACTTACCTCGGCAGCAAATCAGCTAATGGCCTGTTACCATAAATTGTGGTACTTCATAGAAAGAGCCTCTCTGTGGGTGTGCGCGTACATATTTAGGAAACCTCGCGCATACAACCAAAAGCTTCGTCAGCTGCATTTCAAAGAACTTGTAGGACAGCAAAGTCAAAAGCTCCAACTCAGCAAGTTTGGATTCTCTGGGTGGTAGCAAAACATTCTGAAGTGATGAGTATATAATCTCATATCACCGTAATTCCCTAAACGCGGCTGGCAGCTTAAGTTCTTTTTCCTCTCCATCTTTTCCCCTCAAATTTGTTCTCTTCCATCATTTGTAAGTCAATGGTTTGCCCAGCTCACAACAGCCTCTTCATGGTGGGTTATTTGAGAGCTTGGTGTAAAATTTGGGGAGATGTTTCTGCTCTGGCAGTCAAAAGCACTTTTGCCGTGTCCGTGTGTGTTCAAGTAAACTTCTGGTCTTTTTTATGCTTTTGTCTCTGACAGTGAAATGACTGTCAAACTAGTCAAACTTCAACAAAATTATATGTTGTGATTACATCCACACTATAAATTTATTATAAAAGGATCTTTAAAAAGTTTTTGGACACTTTTGAATTTCACTGCATTAGAAAATTAAATATATGTGGCAAAACAAGTGGCATTTGCAAATAAATCATTTTATATGTTTTCCCTCAACTAACTTTACTAACTATACTTATGAGGTCAGTTAAGTTCACACAGGTGTCCTAACAGAGTCCAACATTTGACCATCACAAAGTGCCCAAACTATCTGTCTTCATTTTAAACAATATTGTTTTATCTATTTAAACTTCTTTTATTTTACCTTATTTTTGTGAAATGTGTTTTTTTAAAGGGTTTGTGCTATATTTCTTTAAAAGCATCTTTTTATTAGGCAACAGCAAGTTTAAAGGGGTCATATGATGCTATTTTAAAGATCATTATTTTGTGTATTTGGTGTAACAGAATATGTTGACATGCTTTAATGTTCAAAAAACACATTATTTTTCAAATACTGTACATTATTGTAGGTCCTCTTTGCCCCGCCTCTCTCAAACACGTCGTTTTCAACAAAGCCCCCTCCTTTGACAAGCACAGTCTGCTCTGATTGGCCAGCTGAACCAGTGCATTGTGCGTTTTAGGTAGGCATGGTTGACTCTTAACTTTTATAAAGAATATCTCTTTGGATTTGAGACTTTAGTCTTTGCAACTTTACAGATCTTCTTTATGCACCAAGAGCTTGTAACACTCCAAAGAGAAAGGAAAAATTGAAATCGCATCATATGACCCCTTTAAGTGTGGTTTAGGCTTGTAAATACTTTTTTGGGCCACTGTATGTATAACTAGGCCCAGAACATGCCAGATCTTTTCTTTTTGCATTTTCTGCTTTTATTTAGAAAAAAATATTTAAAATGAATTTAAATCAAATGTGCTAAATAGGGCTAAGACTATTAGGATCTGGTATCTAAAAGCATGAATTTTTTCTTAGTATTGTTAATAAACAAATAGAAATCTGTGTTTAATGTGTATAAGTAAAAAATTACGATTTATATATTGCATACACAGCATGAATGCACTTCACACATATAAACTGCATATAGTCTTCTTAGGAATTTAAGTAATGCAATAGCTGCAGAGCTGAAAATGAATACAATCTAAAAACTACACTACCAATCAAAAGCATATGTGCATTTACTCTTACTTTATTAAAGGGATCATATGATGCGATTTCAAGTTTTCCTTTCTCTTTGGAGTGTTACAAGCTCTTGGTGCATAAAGAAGATCTGTAAAGTTGCAAAGACTAAAGTCTCAAAACCAAAGAGATATAAATAAAAATGTTAATTCAATCTTATATTTCAGCTTCTATAAGGTAGCCAATAATTACAACTGCACACTCTGAGCTTCTCATTACCAATTTCATGAGGTGCATCTTAAGATTCTTTTTGTACAGTATTGAACGGCTTGCCATCTACACTGACACCTTGTTTTCAATTAGAAGACAACTCAACAATTTCAAGAAGAAAATCATACGTATGCAAAAGTTTGTTTGTTTAAAAAAACTAATTTCAAACATTTAAGCATAAGGCTTTAGATCAAATGGTATTTAAGCATAAGGCTTTAGATCAAACATACATTTACAGTCAAACGACTTGTGGTGTATGTTTATGACCTTTATAAATATTTTTGACTCACTTTTTTGGGTGGTTTTCCAGGTAAGGACATTTTCTGTGAAGGAACATTAGCGTACTGCGTATTGCATTCTGTGCAGTGTGTACTGCATACGGTCTTTTACTTTAAAGCGGCTTTTTAGAATAGAATACTTACTGTTATTCCTTTTTTCTGCATCTGTACTGTATATAGTATTTGTACCTTGTACAGTATGCAAACAAATTTTCTGCATGGAATACTTGGATGATATACTACATTTGCCAAATTGTGGCGTATACAACTGCCAAATCGCATGCCAGAAAGAGTAGGATGCTATTATGAATTCAGCCATAGTTATATAAAGCTGACTGTTTATGCATAATGCCTATAATGTATATTGCATAGTTTTCTTGTATGTAAGTACTCCACTCCAAACGTAGCCAATAAAACAGCATGCAGTATGCAGCAGTAAACATTGCAGTTGTATTCTACTCTGTTGTCATAAGACCCTAGTCCTGTCTCAATACCCACACTTGTCTACTGAAGCTACATATTTCCGGTGTTTGGCCCAAGTGTTTAGTTGTGCATGAAGACCACAAGTGTGTTTAAAACTTTTGATGACCCGATGGGACACACTTACATCATAGTGTTGTAAAAATGCTTGTTTTTACAGAGCTTTATATGCATATTTCGAATACTTTGCACTTTAAAATAAACTTCTGAATGTCTGTTCAGTAGTTCCTATGTAACAAACAACACAATGTCTAATTACGTTTTACTACCTTCACTTTATTTTCTTATACTGGAAAGTTTTCCATGAAATCGTGCGATTTCGGGGCACATGAGTTCCTGAACATGATGAATGGTTGGATATGCTTAATGGCCATTCACACCAAGGATGATAACTTTAACTGTAAAGTTTTAATTATCGCTCGAATTCTATGAGAATAGGGAAGTCCACACCATAACTATAACAACAGCTGCTGACACAAATTATATTGTTAAGCATAGTCACAGTGTTCAGAACAATTTTTGGAATATTTTTCAGAAAACATTTTTTTCCAGCTGATGAATGATAAAAAACATTGACAATCAGCCAATCAGAATCCACCCGACTTAACATTTAAAGTGGCAGATGACGTAACTGTAGCGCATGCTTATTATAAACAGAATGTTATCATGCATTGTTGTGGATGCTAATATAGTTATCGTTATAGTTATCATTATAGTTATTGTTCTTGGTGTGAACGGCCCTTTAGCAAGTATTATTGGCGTACCAATATTGGCATACCAACAGCCCTTTAGCAATAATATTGGCAGTAATATAATATTGGTAAAAGTGGTATTAGAGATGTAATTATTTGTGAAAGGCATTGAGCTTTGGCATTTTTCCTGAGACAGTTTTGCACGTTTTACTTCCTGTCACGTACACATGTAAAGTCAAGTTGAACACATTGCACTGTGGCATACAGTATGTAGTAAGTTATCTGGGTTTTCCATGAAAACAGAAAATGCAAACAGCGCTCTTTCTACAGAAACAGTTTGATTGGAATGTTTTTCCCAAAATAGCCAATTTTTTCTTTTTTTTCTTTTGTTATGTTTTTTTAATTCAGGCGATTCCCAACAGTTGAGTTCCGTGCCAAATCCTTGGCTGGAACTCAGTATGTGGCTGTTCCGGAGGACTGCATCATACCCCAGCTTCTGCTGATAGAGTTGGGCCTGGTGGATGCTGACAAACCTTACGTCGAAGTACGGGACGACTGTGCCCGTCAGCACCGCTCACCGGCTGTGGAGCTCCGTCTGGATGGCCCGGGTGGGAGAACCCTCTGGCCCGTGCTCACAGTCACTCAGGGAGTGTTAATCCTAGCCTGCCTTCCTCTAGTGGAAGCACCTCCTGAGCCTCGGCCACCTCTCCCCAGCCTGGCCTCAGTCTCTAAGGGCTTAGCTCTTTTGTTAGGCCTGCAGGATTTCCTTTGTGGCCCTGGAGGTAAACCAGAGCCTGATGTGCTGGCCTCCCGTTTGGCTGCTCTTCCCTCCGTGCTCCTGCAGGTTTGCCCTTTGGGGAGGCCACTGGACACCCCTCCTCCTGCTGGATCAGTGCCTGCTGCTGTGGCTCCAAGCCCAGGGGGGGCTCAAAAGCAGCCAGCCTGGAAGGCAGGGGTCCATCGAGGCAGGGCTGTAGTAAGTGTGGCCCTTACCGAGAAGGTGAGGTCCATGCAGTACGGCAAGAGTAGTCAACAAGATATCTGGGATGTGTACGGCATGGTCATGTGCAAAGTTAGTCCTCATCCTATATACTGAACATTTAGTTTGATTTGTGTTATATTTGGTTATAAACTTGCATTACATTTATTACTTCATGTTTTTCAGTGTGAGGTTGAAGGTGTTCTGCCCAATGTGATCGTCACCCTCACACTCCCACACAACGGTTCGCCCCTGCAGGACATTCTTGTCCATCCCTGTGTGACGTCTCTGGATGCAAGCCTTCTTACCGCCTGCAGTGTGGACGAGAATGACAGTTCCGCCTTTTCAGGGCCATACAAGTTCCCTTTCTCACCACCTCTGGAGCTTTTCAGACTCTGTAGTTACACCTCACAGGTAAAGCATATTCTGGCAATAGTTTGTCTTATGTTTTGTCTCAAAAATGTACCATTCAAAAGTTTGGAATCGGTAAGATTAAAAAAAAAAGTTTTTGAAAGAAGTCTCTTATTTGATCAAAAATATAGCAAAATTTTAATTAGCTGTTTTCTATTTTAATATCATTTAAAATGTAATTTACTCCTGTGATGGCAAAGCTTAATTTTCAGCATCATTACTCTCATCAGTGTCACATGATGTTTCAGAAATAATTCTAATATGCTGAAATGACTTTTTTGAATCATCAACGTCGATAAGCATTTTTTTGCAGAACTCTCTGATGAAAGGAAAGCTCAAAAGAGCAGCATTTGTTTGAAATAGAATGATTCCATTTATAAATTACTTGACTATCACTTTTAATCAATTTCATACATCCTTGCTGAATAAAAGTATTCATTTATTTAAAAAAACAAAAACTGACAACAGACATCTGAACAACAGTGTGTACGTGTTTATTACTCTCATCAGTGTCACATGATGTTTCAGAAATAATTCTAATATGCTGAAATGACTTTTTTGAATCATCAACGTCGATAAGCATTTTTTTGCAGAACTCTCTGATGAAAGGAAAGCTCAAAAGAGCAGCATTTGTTTGAAATAGAATTATTCCATTTATAAATTACTTGACTATCACTTTTAATCAATTTCATACATCCTTGCTGAATAAAAGTATTCATTTATTTAAAAAAACAAAAACTGACAACAGACATCTGAACAACAGTGTGTACGTGTTTTACTTTAATTCTCTCTCATTATGGTACACACACACACACTAAAAGCTGTAGTGTGCTTATAACTTTTTTGAGGTACCTGTGCCACCAATTCTTGGCTCCTTCAAGCTGAAAGCAGAGGAGAATCATTTGAAGGTCAATGTCGTCTTGAAGCTCCATGAAAGTGTCAAAAACAGCTTTGAGTACTGCGACGCACACATTCCATTTTTCAACCAGTAAGTTACACTAATTTGTAGTAAAACGCTTAATTCTATACTGTAGATGTGTTGGGCAGGGTTCAGCATTTACACTGTCAGATAGTTATAATGGCTCTTTATCTAGTTGTCTGTCTTTAGCTGGTACTGTTGTGCTTATAAATGGTACACTGGCTGTTATAGTGCCCTTGTACGTGCTTATTCACAGGAATCTAATGGGAAGTGTGGAGGTCAAAGTGAGCTCAGGACAGCTTGAGGTGTCTAAAGAGAAGAACCTACTGGTTTGGGTCCTTGGTATGTACTGTATGTTCTTAATATTCCATGATATTTCAATTTATTGTTATTATTTATAATTATATTACTGACATATGTCTTTTTACCTCCTCAGGTCAGAAGTTTCCAAAGTCCCGTGAAGCAACACTGGAGGGAACTGTTCATTTTTCAGGGACTGTTGCTGGACCGACAGACCCTCTGTGCACAGGACTCACCGCATATATAAAAGTGAGGGTGAATTCAGCATCAACTGATTTGTTCTTTATATAATAAGATACTAAGACTCAGTTTATTGCACAGGATGTCTGTATTAATGTATTTAATAACAGCTCATGTCATCTGTCACTGTGTTCTTTCCAGCTTTATTTCCGTGTGCCAGATTTGACTTTGTCTGGTTGCTGTGTGGACCAACACTCAGTGCAGGTTTACTCATCTGCCAAACCACGTATTGTCACAAGTGAGTGGTAACTAAAACTAAAACTATCAAAATAATTTTTGTTAATTGAAATAAAATAGAATATAAATTTTAGATACAAATTTAGAGATTAGATAAAAAAAACTTAAAATAGAAAAATATTGCCTTGCCAGCTAAGTGAAATAAAATGTTTAAACTGAAGAACTAAAATGACTAAACCTGAAATAAAATGAATAAATGCTAAATAGAAATATATTTTAAAAAAAGCTGTCAAAAAAATAATAAATACTATAATAGTATATAAAAAAAATCGAAAATAACACAGTTCAGTGATGATTGCATGTTGAAATAAGTTCACAGTGGCTTATTGACATGAAAAAAATAAATGACTGTTGAAATTAACCTATATACGTTTTTTTTTTCTTTAGCACGAGAGCTGGTCTCCTCCGAATATTACATTTGGAACTCCACAGGTGACGCCCCGGTGTCCTCTGGACTCATGGTGCTGTGACAGCATCTCATTGATGCACACCGACCTTAATAAATCATTGTAGATATTAAACAAAGATCAGGCACTAAATTATATTCTGTACGGAAATGTTGCCTCTGACAAATGTTGCTTTCAGTGTTAACTTACATTTACAGTGTGACTATCATATACAGTATGGTTTTTCCTAATCTGTCAAAATATGAAATACTCAGCGTCTCACAGAATGTGTCTTTTGTGTGAATATGACTCCTTTATTTAGCTGAAAATGGCCTGATATATAATGAATGACTGGTCGGAGAACCTCATACACATTTATTATATTAATCTTATTATTTTTCAGTTATATAAATATATTTAGTGATTAACTAAGGCTTTTTAATATAAAGAAAGGTTTTTTTTTTTTTTTATCTGCACCATTTTTTTAGTCAAATGTTCTTTCATCGTCACTAATAAGAAGTAATGAAGAATTTAAAATTCAATTAACAGTTCTTTCATTTTGCTTCAGAACTGGGCCCCGAGTGATTACTGGTGTTCAGGCTTTGGTTTTCCCTATTAACTATTCAGCTGGTTTATATAGAGGCCCCTTGAGCTCACTTACAAGAGGACTTTGGCCCTGTGTTTGTTTGATGAGGTTGAAAAGAGTGTATTTTGGCGGGAGAGAAGGAGAGAAGGCAATTGTTGAGGAGAAATACCAGACTGGTATCCAAAGAGGTTCTTAATTAGTTTCCAAAGTGACCCATAGAGGTCCCACTTAAGCTTGTCTCGGTCTCTCTCCTGCCCAACAAAAACACTTAATGCAGACTTAAAAATACCAGTCATCCAACTTGCAACGAAAGGACCCTTTACTTTTGGTCTTTAATTGTTACAATAGGAAATCAATTATGCAGCCTATGATGTTATAGGATATATCTGTTTTGGCTAAATGTTATAAAACCAAACAGGTGCATAAATTGTGCGTCACCTTATATACATTGTATGGCTCTGGGCAGAAAGCCATTTCTGCATAGCTATAAATAGCAGCTGAGTTGCATTTGGCTGTCAATTACGGCTGAGAATTCCCATGCAGAAGACAGAAAGATGATGATGGTTCAGCTGGAGCCACATAAGAGCTCTCCACTGAAGCAAATCATTGTCTGAGAGATTAATTGTCTGCCACGTCTACTATAGATTGCCTTGCTGTGTCTCTGTAAGAACAAGGCAGGGCTGCATTCTCACAAGGATTTTCTCCTTAGATCACCGAGCGTGATCAATCTTATGGCTGAAGCAAGTCTCCAGTATGGTCCTCTTCGCTTTATGCGTCTGTCAGTATTCTCAGAGAATTGGGTCAATTGGGTCATTCCTCATCATACATTAATTCTAAAGGAATGTGTTCAAGATTCTTATTGGAATTTCTACAATAATTATGAATCATAATAGAAAAAAGATGGTTAATTACTTTATTTAAAGGGGTCCTATTATGCTCTTTTACAAAGTCTTGATTTTGTTTTGGGGGTGTACTAGAACAGGCTCTCATACTAGGTTGTTCGAAAAACACATTATTTTTCACATATTTTACATTATTACAGCACATCTCTCCCCAGTCTGGCATGAACGGCTCGAATAGTTCCTGTATCAAATGAAAGCCCGCCTTCTGAAATACGAAATGTGCTGTGATTGGTTAGCAAGGCCAGTGTGTGTTGTGATTGGCACCACTCGGCGCCTGGTCGGGAAATGATTATTTCCTTTAAATCTTGCGTCCTATTGGATATTATGTGGTCTTTATTATATTGAAAAAAAATGTCTTCCAACATTGTTGAATAAATATATATTCAACTATTAATTCAAGCTATAATATTTTGATTTTTAATAAATAAATGACTCATTTTGATTTAAATATATTGGTAACAAAAATAGTTGAGATATTGAGAACTATGTGATTTAATAGATTTTTTGTCATGTTGGAATTAGGGTTATTACAGTTAACTAAAACTAAGACTATAAAAAGAATAAAATAAATGTCAACTGAAACAAGATAAAATATATATAAAAAAACTTAAACATTTTATTTCAGATATAGTTTTCCCATTTCAACATTTGTCATTTTCACTTAGATGAACTTGATGTGCTAAAATAACTCAAACAGAAATTCAAATAAAAACTACATAGACAAAAAACAAAAAACAAAAAAAAACTAATAGCTAAAATAGTGAAAACATAAAACATAATTAGGCTACTAAAACGTAGTAAAAAGTGACTTAGTAAAAATATAACTGAAAACAAAATATACAAATATAATTCTCAATTATACATTTACATATGAAAATTCCCATTAAAATCTTTTTTTTTTTTTAAGGTAATCAAAAAGAAAATGTTTCCAATTTAATAAAACATTCTCAAAGTTTAGTTTGTGCCTTGAATTGGTCTACATTATTTGTAGCATGCTGTAGTCATAAAACAGCATAATTTCACTAAGACAATTCTCCTTTAGCATATAATTTTAAGGAGCGCACACACAAAACACTCTGCATCAATGAACACCCACGATGTGCCCTGGGCGAAGTCGCACATAATTGGATGCATAGGTCCATCTAGTGGCTCTTCTTGGGAAATAGATTTAGGACATCCCTATGCAGCCTATGTATGTAGCCCATGTATGTATGTATTTAACAATGGCGCTTTCCTGGAATTTTATAGTTTTTTAAAATGGCGTTTTAGAATTATGTCGTTGGTGTACATTCCTAGAAGAGAATTCAGCGTTTTGTATTACAACATAAATTAAACATTCAATATAAATACAACATATTCATGCCTCAAAATTGTGAAGCCGCTGTTTTAAACGTAAGTTACTAAATTGCTATAGCTTGGTCGTGTGCTTTCAACATGCAGCGCCCATGAGTTCGAGGAGTGCCTACAATAATAGTGTATAGATAATACTAAAATAACACCGCTTTGGGGGTGACCTGCTCGAATAAAAGTTTTTTTTCTTTTCTAGAAGACTGATAGCTTTAGTGTATTCACGTGATACGAGTGTATTTTAAATGTGTTAATCGTTTTTTCATGCAAATAAATAAATAAATAGTGCACTTTAAATTTAAATAATTAAATAAATAGTGCCCTTGAAATTTGAATGAAACTCAATTTCCCAGCATCCTGTACTGAAACGCGCCGGCATAGTGTCGTAAATAATCTACTCTGCTTTACGGCAGATAATAGGCCAGTGTGGAGTGAATTGAGCAATGGCAGGAACAGACACGAGATAGTCCACGAGCCTTACGTTATCCCTACATTTATCAGGTACCAGCAGCCGGACGGGCGTCTGTCCTTGTCGTCGTTCGCTGTGAGAGGCTGATTCTGACCCCGTTTTTCTGTCATCATAGTAACTGTATGCAGTGGAATGGCTGAAGTGCCGCCTGGGCCTAACGCACTGCCTTCATCCCCGAGCGAGATCACACCACTGCCCGTGGACGGGTGCACCTTACTGGGCCACGATGAGGGACGGGACATCATCAGCCCCGGCCCGGGACACCAGCACGCCAGCGATCATAAGGCGATAGTCAAATCCAACCTGAACAACGTGCATCCTAATGCATCAGCCGCCCAGTTCCACACAGCCCAGCTGAACGGGGTCCAGTGCAACCACACTCGCCTCCAGAACCACGTCCAACAACACCGGCTGTCCGACAATCAAAACGCCGCTTCCGATCACCACTTGGACGGGATCGGTGAAACACAGGGCGATCACACGGAAAACAACAATTTCACGAGAAATAAACGATGTTGTGATAAATCGCAGAGCCAGTCGCCGCCGAACAACGGGATAAACTGCACGGATAGTATGGCGATAACGGAGAGCAGCTCTTGCCGACTGGAGAACGATGTAAGTAGCAGGACTGGTTCGGGGGATCGGGCTCGAGCGGCTGCAGCCGCGGCAGCGCTGCTGGACGGGGCTGGGGCTGAGTCAGGCCCGGACCCGCAGGGCGCTGGAGTAGAACAGGCGGCGGCTGACAGCGCTCCGGTGGCGGAGATGTCGAGACTAGCGCTGGAGGAGCACGACGAGTCCATCCGATACGTGAGATATGAGTCTGAGCTCCAGATGCCTGATATCATCCGACTCATAACTAAAGACTTATCTGAGCCCTACTCCATTTACACCTATAGGTACTTTATTCACAACTGGCCTCAGCTCTGCTTTCTGGTATGTATCCTGTCATTCAGTTATTCTTGATGGTGTTGAAGAGATCAGTATCAAAGCCTTCAATATCATCTCTGATATAACAAAATGTCTAGCGTTTATGTATAAACGTATAAAATATTACTGATTAATTAGCATTTTAGATTATCTTGGATTTTAAATGATATTTCAATGTGCATGAGAACAGTACGGTATTACCACACATTGGACACATACCATGTTACCACGACTAAAATAAACATGTTACTATAGTAAGTTTCCACAAAAATAAATAAATAAATGTTTTTACCATGGTATGTCTCAAAAACATGACCATTATATAACCATGTCCAAAACATACTGTTTCTTTTTTTTATTTATTATTTTACATGTTTGTCAAATTTCCCCCCCCCAATGTCATATTGATTGAAGTGATGGCCTAGCTTTACTCCTCGTCATATTTAACCACATTAGACACGTCTGAAACACTACTACCTGTCTTTTGCTAGAATGATGTTTCATACTAAAACTATTATTAGTAGTATATTATTACTTGCTTTCTGTCTATTCATAGATCTGTCATTCACTTATGTATCATCAATATTAGAGCCTCCAGCATCATCTGATATAATAATATCATTGCATAGTGAGATATAAAATTTTACTGACTGATTAACATTTTGGTATATCTCGTATTTAAATGGTATTCCAATGTACAACAAAAAATGACATATTATTACCCTGCTATGTGTCCAAAACATGGCATGACCATGTTACCGTGACCGTAATAAACATAGTATTGATATAGTACGTGTCCCCAGTGTAAAGTATAAACAAAATATACATTTTGTAGCATGGTATATGTCTCAAAAACATGACATGACTATATAATCATATAAAAAAAAAAACATACTGTTTGTTTATTGTATTTGGTTTGTATATTTAAATGTTTGTCAATTTTTTTCCCAAATGTCATATTGTTAAAGTGATGGATTTAGCTCATGTCAAATGACACACATGTAGTAACACGACTAAATATTATTGTATTGTATCTTTTTCAAGAATGATGTTTCATATTAAATCAATGGGGGTGACCAAGAAGTGTCATGGTACTCCTG